AAGAATTATCTGGGGAAATGACTTAGTTACTACATTTCTATTGCTTTCCATGTTGAATAACTTTGTGTTGTTTCTATTTTAATGTACTTTTAAAGTTTAAATCACATTAAAAGCTTAATTTGTACATTATGAATGAATGATGATGCATTTATATACCATCACCGTCACTCACAGCTGCTCGCACGTGTTTTGCGCATGAACACAGCCCAAAATGAAACGACTTAATCGACCATCGATAGCGTTAATCGATTGCGTCTCTTATCGACAATTAATCGATCATCGATTAATCGTTGACATCCCTAGTTAAGAGTCAACCACACCTACCTAAAACGGCTCGTTCTAACACGCCCCCATTAACAATAAAATTCCTGCACTTGAAAAGTCGCAAGCACGCAGATAACGAAAAGCAAGCCGATAGAATTTCAGAGAGCGCCTGGACATCCCGCACCACCACCGAAGTGGGTGTTCGTTAGAGGAACAGACGGCGCGGACGGGATCGCAGCGCCGGCGGGTTGTAGTGAATGACGTGATTGACATTTGCTGGCTTTTCAAACGTTTTATTTTAACTTGTTATTTAAACATTTTTAAATGCAATGTTAAAATTATGGTAATGTGAATGATAAAACCCTGTTTTTTTTGTTGTTGTTTTTTCTGTCATGTAATCAACTATTGTTTTCAGTGTCGACTAGTAGGAGCTGTACCGTTTAGTCGACTAGTCGACTAGACCCGCACATCCCTAGTGTGTGCGTCACTCATAGCACGTGCCTATATCGGGAAAAAATTATATCGTTATCGAAGAAGGTGTACCGTTGATAAATATCGATACCGTTTTATCGCCCAGGCCTACATATAGCCTATTGCTTTTTGTTGTGGTGGAAATGATAGTGATAGAAGTCATACTGTAAATTTATTTCAAATAATATTACAGCTGTAACTTGTGTAAAAAGTAAATTTCACAGTTAATATTTAAATACTTTATTTATTTAATTAATTAATTAAGGCCTATATGGTAATATTTAATAATAAAAATATTTCAGAGTAAAATAAATTTAGAAAAATGTAAATGAATTATAGAAATTTCCATGACTTTTTTTTTTCCTGATATATCTAGGTTTTCTATGATTTACATCCTGTAAATTATAAACATCATTAAAACGTGAATGTCATTCCAACATTTTACACTATATTGAAGATGATGTGCACAAAAACGTCCACAATTTGAATTAAACAGACCCGAATCACATGAAATATCATGAAATACAGCTACTAGATACAGGAATCTCTCTCACCATCTGCAGAAGTTTGCTCATTCGTTGCATTCCCGTTACTGGAGTCCTGTTGTGGACATGATCCGTTCGAGTTCATCTGATCGGCCGCAGCTGGTTCACCAGCCACAGATTTAGATTCCAGTCTGGCCCTCTCGGCCTCCTCTGCCACTCGTCGCTTCACCTCCTCAAGCTCCGCTTCCTGCTTGGTCTTCAGACGGTCCAGGATCACATCTGGAGGAAATGGACAGAAGAATACTCTCAAGATACCGAAACACCACAACAGCTGTCCAACGTGTTTCTCTAAACAAATCATTTCCATTTCTCATTTCCTATCCACACATGTTAAGTTGGTTAAAGGGGAACTCATACAGGTTTGGAATCACTTGAGAAGGAGTAAATGATGGCAGAATGTTCATTTTTGGGTGAACTATTGCTTTACTCACTGACATGCAGTGGCTTACAAGTTATTATGTTTTAAAATAACTACTTGCTTGCCTCGAGTTAGCATTTCAAAATACCACATGAATCAAAGTTTGCATGCAGGAAGCAAAACGCATGCATGAAACATCTGCAGCTTGATAAATACTTTCCCACAAAAACTTTTCAAGATGAATCTCACTCTAGTGCAGGTGGAGCTGCTTTTGCACTGCTAAAAATAGCTGAACGGAAAGACACCTAACAGTGATTTGAGTTACAACCAAATTTATTATTCTATACTCCATCACATTAACTAATATCGAGTCAGATATATTTACTGTATACTATGGATGGATTGTTGCAAAATGGTTTGCATCTTAATGTAGTGTAAAAAACAAAAAAAGGTAATACAATAATTATTTTCTTATTAAAAATGTAAACTTAATTACACCACATTTTCACAATAAATCTGTGAAATGGAAGTCCTTATTTGCAATATAATTTTCATTTGCCGGATGTATACAAATCCAGAAACAGACACACTGGAACATAATTCATGTTGCTTATTTCACTTAGTACCGATATTTCTTATTGTAAGCGAGAAAAAAAATAATACTGATATAAAATTTAAAAAAACAAAAATAACTTAAATATGTTAACAATTATTAAATGTGTAATGGTCTTATCTAGTAATGAAATACAGTAATATTTTTAATACTAAAATGAAATAAGTATTGAAAGTAATATAAAAAAATAATAAAATAATATTTAATAAAACTACAGTTCACATGGTGTGACAAAATAGAGCAGGTTTTACTAAATTGATTCGTTACATGTAAATAAAACAAATCAACTGAAATAAATTATATGTATTGAAAAGGTTTAATTTAATAACATGTAAAAGTCTTTAATTAAATTACGTTCTCTGAGAATTTTTGGAGTGGATTTATTAAAGTTGGGCTTTAGAGTTTATATCCTAAACTGTCATTACATATAACATCTTAGGATTTGATTAAATACTTTTCATACATAAAAATGCCCACATACATATGGAAAATAACTGCTGTGGTCTTAACTTAAAGAAATTAAATACATCCCTCTTCCACAGAGCAGACAAGAGACCAGCAGAGTCGTGTACTATTTAAAAAGGGGGAAAATGAGTGTGGGTTGCTAAAATGACCTGTTTC